TTTGGGTGTGGGTGGGGGGGCACAGTGGAAAGAGCAAAAGCGGAGGCGAAGGAGGGAGCAAGAAGACAATACAACGTGAGTCTGAATGCGACAAAACAATCTTTACAAGTCGGACGATCGGTGCTACCGGCCGGCCCGTCTTAGCCGAGGCCGGAATACAAACCCATCTAATAGTGTCATGAACCTTCAAGAAATTTCCAATGTATCATGAGGGAAAGGAAGAAAAGCATTTCCAACAAACACGCGCCCGTCGAAGGTGATGCTTTTTTCAAGAACCAAGATGATTGGCTGGGATCAGGCAAGTCTTGCACGTTCACCATGTCCCCTCACACCCGGCTTACGTTGTGCATTCATCGCTCATTCCACAACTTCCTACAATCGTAAGCGAGCTTTTCTTGCAAAGTGAGTTTTTCTCTCGCTTCCGCTCCTGGCCTAGTGGATAGCGCTAGTTCGTGTGTACACAGAGGGAAGAGAGTGCTGAACTCTTCTCGCATTAAAAATCGCAGGCAAAGTACCGCAGGAGGGGAGGGTAGAGAGGGGCTCTTCTGTGTGACCACGGGTTGGAGTAAACGGCACTAGTGCTGTGAGCGCTGATTTGAAGTGAAGACAAAAAAAAAAAAAATCCGGCTTACGCTTTACATTCATCGCTCGTTTCGCACTTTCCCACACAACCGGCGTACGTTTTGCTTTCGTCTCTCGCTCCACACCTTCCTATACACATGGCTTTTCGCTTTACATTCATATCTCGTTCCACACCTCCCCCGCGCACGTCGCTTACGCGTTGCATTCATCGATCGTTCTGACCTGGAAATCGTCTATGTCGTAGCGGCTTCCACAGACCCTGCAGGTGTTGTTCACGCAATCCACGCAGTCCACGCAGATCTGCGACAACGGCAAGGAGGGGGGTCAAGTGAGATTCATCTCTCAGGAGGGGGGCTGCTAAGGCCCTGTCCCCTGCTTTGTTTCCTTAAATCGGCAAGTTCTTATTCTCGCGCATTTTTCCGTGGGTCTTTTGCCGAAACGACGTCCATAAAACCCTGCACTCGAACCCCTTCATGTAACAGTCAAGCGTACAACACCTGGATCTAGCAACGTACCAACGTCCGTTTCGCATGAAGATGTTCGGAACGCGATCACAATAAGCGAACACATTTGCTGACAAAGCTTGCAAGACGAAAACACGATACACACGCCATGTCCTCATGTCACGTCCTAGTATCAGATAGCGCATATGCTCGCCGCTGGGTTGTTCCTTCCCAAGGCTGTGTGTGCTCGACAGAGGTAGGAAACGCTTCACAAACCATAGAACGATCGAAACGTGGAACGTATGATCCCAGAGCCTCCCTCCCCCCTCCCCCCCCTTTTCACAAAACATCGTGTCCCCAGCCCCTGTCGCGGCGGCTTTAGTGTCCCGTAGTTGGTCGAGGCGACTTTGCCCTCGTCCCTCGTGGTGCAACAAGAAACGCGCAAGCATACAACAAGCCGCCATCTAGTTGAACAACAGATGAAGCCGATACAACGCCCCGCAACTTACCAGGTGAGTGCAGGGTGTAATGTGCAGCAGCTGCAAGGGCTCGCCGCACCCCTGACACAACAGCAGCAGCAGCAGGCGGGGCAGCCAAGAGAGATAACAAAGACCACAACAGTCAGGCGGGAGCAGCGGAGAAGGATAGGAAAACCAACCGTAGAAAAGGCACGTCAAAAACACCAACAGAGATCGGATCGGTTTTCTGTTGAGAATGTGGGCCGCCATCAGCAAGTAGGCAGGGCAAAGACGCCACCACCACCATCACCGCTAACAGACGATGACGCTTCTATCGCCGCCTTTGTGGTGCTGCTGACGCTTATTTCGCTGCGATTGTACATACCGCAACATGCTTCGTTATACCCTCGCCCCCCCACTCATCAGTCGGTCACACACGAGCCTTGTCGAATAATTTGCTTTCTCGCTGCTCGCAGGAACTCTTCCCAACATAAAAAACAATACCCTTTTACTTCTACTCCCCCGCGGGGTACGACAGAGGGCACAACTTGCATACCCCCCGAATGACGGCCGCATCAAACACACCGTACAGTACCCCGTAGCACATCATATCGTCCTTGGTTGGTCAGAGGGAAGGAACGCCTACCTGGCAACTAGAAACCTCTCCCATGGTAGCCCTGGTGATGAAATTGTCAATGCGACGTAGATCCACCGCACTGGCATCGTGCAGGTCCCTCAGCATGTGCAGGGTCTCCACCTGGTGTATGCCTTTCACCATGGGGATGAGAGTTCCTCCTCCGCAGCACGACAGCCGGATGTTGGTCAGGGCCTTCGGTTTCCAGACAGACACCAGCACGCACGACGGACCGTTTCGCAAAGCACTGGCCCAGAACGGCGCAACTGACAGACAGGCAGACAGGCAGCTGGAGAGATGGATTCCTGTAGCACAAGGAAGCGAGGCTTGAGGATGAGCTTCTACAGCGCCCCAACGTACCTTTTTTTGTTCTTGCTATTTAGCACGCCCACCCGTACACGAAAGCACTACAATAATAGAGCGTATGGTCGCAAACGCTTCTAAATAAAGTCCACGTCCACAGAGTGTGCATGTGTTCTGGGGTGTTACAAGTATCCATGGTTGGTGTCCCGCTACAACTAGCGTCTCTTCATCGGTCAGTCGCGTGTCGCGGTCGAAGGTCTTTTTCAATACACGCCACCGTACAGGCTGCGCACGGTACTCGTGTCCCCTCCAGCTCGCCTACCTCCATCGCATACTTGGTGTTGGCGGGATTGAGAAGCGAGTCCTGCCACCCAGAAGTCTTTCCCTCCATGGAGGTCAGCAGCAAGTTGGACCTTCCGCATGACGCCGCCGCCCACAGCAAAAACAGGATTAATGAAACAGAGAGGAAAACACGAGGAATGCCCGAACCCAAAGCGTGATAACGTGACCAGAGGTAGGTGCTGTCTAGGCTTCGAGGAGAACGCGTAAGACGTTTTATGGACCCTGTCGTGGAATATCTCGAAGAAAATCGACAGCGCAGCGAGTTGTTCATCTGCAAGCGTACTATAATACCTTAAAGCTGTCCATTTAAAAGGGTACCTTAAAAGCTGGCAATTAGCAAGTTTACCTCAAAGCTGGCCATTTGCAAGTATACAGTATTGCCGTTCTATTGAGAGTGTACCTCAAGTGGTTCATTTACGATTGAAGGTACCTGACAAAGGACACGATGGTGTCGTAGGCCAGCGTCTCCTGCTGAGACATGTTGAGCAACGCGCTTTCTCGCACTGGCGGGGGAATGCTGAGAAGATCGGCTTTCGTGTGTCGAATCATCACCTTCCGAGCGAAGGAATGGGGGATGCAGACATCCATCAAACAACGGATGAGGTACCGGAAGGTGTTAAAACGTGAAGGGATGCACGGAAATTACACCATGGAGTAACGAGATGATCTCAAGACGGCGCTACGAGTATGAACGTTATTCCAAGCGCTGTAGGTGATCAATCACGTTAAGAGACGCCTTATCGTTAAGAGACGTCCTATCGGGCCCATGGCAGCCAAACGTGCAAATCATACGCTCTGCGTTCGGCATGAATCATGGAAGGCAAAGCGATATTTGCGTGTAGAACGTTTTGCACGATAAAACAGCTCGGTGCGGCGTAATGAGTGCGTTACCACACAACAACTATCAAGCTTGGAACACCTGTGCTACTTATTACCGTGGCGGTTTTTCAGGAACTTCCGTGGTACCAAAAAATAACCATTCAACCCCCAAACTTGCGTTTAAAACTTGTGTTATTTGGTACCATGATGTTTATCCGGGCATTTCTATTGAAAAAAAAATGTGTGCAATATACTATGTACCATGGTGTTTTACAGGCATGCCGAATAAAAAATAATGTCGTAAGAGTGACCTATCTCAGACCGACGGAAGGGGTTGAACCTTCTCTCGACTGTGTGACCAGAGGAGACTTTCGGAGCGACGGTGGGGGACCCCTAGTGCACAGACTTGCGGGACAGGAGTAGTTCTCTAGGAAGAGCCAACGGTGGTCTCTGGGAAGAGAGGGAAAGAATAAGAGTGACAGAGGAGGGGTGAAGAGGGGTGTGCACAGCACACCACTTCCGCAGCCCTGATGACGCAGAACCGACCTGACTAGGCGGTGACACAGACACAATCTGCGCTGGCGTGCTGACGTGGTAGAGCACTGACATGCTACCGGGGAATCTCCCCGGGCGTGAGACGACAAACAACCATCTGGGCGGTTGAGTGTATAGACTGTATGTGGTACGCGGGCATGTGCATACAGTGACATACGGGCGCGGACCGCACGGAAAGATCCGCAGAGCAAGCGGAGGGACAGTTGGGCAGGGGACCTCGAGTGGGACGTACGTACAGCTACACCAGAGATTCAAAGTTGTGCTATTAATTACTGTCGTGGTTTTCTCGGGCAATTCTGTGGATTCGTCCGGATGCACACAAAAGCTCACCTCCGACAGCAGCCTTCTTAGCCGCTCGCGACCCTCCGGCTTGTTGGCGATAAAGGGGCCGCGGACGTTCCTTTTGGGCCAAAACCGTCAAAAACAAAACAAATACAAAACAAAACATTGAAGTTATTGATATCCTGGACACTTTGTGGATAGAGATGAACAATGCTTTGATTGGCAAGATAAAGAGATAAAATCATTGAGCTGGCAACATACTTGCCCGTTCAACGAGATCACGTAATCCATGCACCAAAATTACAGCAAAAATCGAAAGACGGGAACGGGCCTGAACCGCTGCTCTTCAGGTACCAACTAGCGAGGGTCTTGGTACGGCCAACGTCTATGAATCGTGCGAATCCAGCCGCAAAATCCGTTGCTGTCAATGCGGACAGCAGTAGAATGACAAGAAAAGCTACCTTTGGGAGTCATCAGGAGCTACCTTCGCCAGTCATCAGGCAAGTTATCCTCGCAAGTAATCAGAGATGCCACTATCGTAATGAGACAAGCTATATACCTTCGTCATTCATGAGACAAGCGCTAGTGTGCCACACCTTCGCCATTCCGGGCTGTACTCCTTCTCCCTCAGAAGATTGAGCAGGTTACTCAGGTTTCTCAAAGCAGCGTCGGCGGACGTGGTTGGGGTAGGAGTACCAGTCATGACCCATCTGCCAGGACGAACGGTGGGAGAGCGGTTGTGTCAGCGATGCCCAATAACAGTGCGTGTTGCGCTGCTGTAGGCTACCTCAGCTCCAAACCAGCGTTCTTTCGGTAGATTTGGCCGCACAAGCCGTAGTCAAACAGGAGGCAGGCAAACACAGCAGGAGTTTCTTGTTCTGGCATTTTCTCCGCATTTTGTGGCGCTGCCTTACAATTATGGCTACAAAGAAGGATTCACCCGTCCATATTCATCGTCGACCGCAACGTCGATTTCGGTGCACGTACCCATCACTCGAAACGTTTCCAGTTGTACCGCAAGTTTACCGAAGCAACCGCTCGTCGCATTTTGCACACCGAGCACACCGCAGTCGACGAAAACGGAAACCGTCACCCAGCCAATCACAGGTCAGCAAACGCCCAGTCTCTCTCTCTCTCTCTCTCTCTCTCTGTATGTCTCCGTCTCTCTCCGCTTCTCTCTATCTGTCTCTGTCTCTGTCTCTCTCTTATCTCTGTGTGTGCCTCTCTCTCTCTCTGTAACTCTGTGTGTGTGTCTTTGTCTCTGCCTCCATCTCCCTCTAAGTCATTAGCTCTCACCTTCGCTCTGCCTCTATCCGCCGAGCCACATCCCCGCAGCTCGTCATCGCCGATGTCCCCATAGCGTGGCCCTCATCCTGCACACAACCAGGTAACCACAACGATAATATTGGTTGACCCCAAAAACGTTCGATTATAAAAAAAAAACGGGCTGACATCGCTCATCTTTCAGCGTGTACGCTTAAAACTGAAAGACTAAAACTAAGGACAGTATCCAACATTCCTTTCTAATGATTTTCTCAACACTCACTGCTAAAAAAGACCAAGACTCCAACACAATCCTTCGATGGGGATACAATCTAGAATGGGTATCAGCAGTCTTTGTGCGTGTGGTTGTATCTGCACGTCCTGAAAAGCACAAGAGCAGCACCCTTATCGTATCCGTAAGTAGTTATTCGAGAGCTGTCGTTCCTTGCATGTCTCTGTCGGTTGTGGAGAAATCGAGCTGCGAAACTCGGTCTACCGGGTGTGCGACCACCAGCACAACGACACTCGTGGTCCCGATAATGAGAGCATCGTGTGGTGTGGTGCGACAACGGCCGTCGAAACTCTTACATCGGGACCCCATATTCTACCGATATGTTGAGGGTAAATCCTACTACACCACAAAGCGAGTCGAGCCCGTGACAACCGATATCCAAACCCTCTACAACATCACTACATCGAAGCCTCCTCTCGCTCACTACCCTGAACCACGGCGTTTAGCCACTGGAGCGCACCCAGACGGGCACGAAGGCAACACCAACAACGGGTAACCCTTACCAGCACCATCCTGAGCCAGTGTATGCGCGAGAGCGGAGAGTCAGACCACCCGGGCTGCTCGTTGGTCAGCCGCTGGTACGTCGTCACCACCACTCCGAAGTCCTTCAGTTCGTCAACGGGGGGGAGGCGAGTGTCCGAGCGCTCGTCGAAAAAAACTGAGCCTAGTCTCCCTGAAAGACGGCGGCGGGAAATAACAAACGGTACGCATCGACGGAAACGGAAAAATGGGAAACCGTCAAGGTGCAGGGTGGGAAACCGTGAATGTGCAGCGTGAGCCAATGGACAAAGACAAACGATGAACCCGGGGTAGACACATGTGCTACACACGCACAATTATTCGTGATGCACCGGCAAGCTGAAACGAGTCTGTTGCAGAGCGCCACCATCCCCCATCTTAAACACGATACGTATGCCTCAGCCGTAGCCAACCTCTGCAGAGAAAGCAAACAGCAGCGTCATCAAGGAGTGATGCAAGATACACTAAAAGCAGGCAGCACGGCCAACCCACAGCTGACTGCCAGCTGCCACGTTTCCCAACCTCACACAGCTCACGCTTTTCGACTCGAAGAGCCCAGCGAAACCCAAGGAACAAAAAAAAAAGTACTGTACGACAAATCTGTGGTATACGGCAGTCATACGCGTGTTCCGACACAACGCAGCAGTAGCAGTCCAAGATTCTCCTACTCTCGCGTACCGTGCTCAGCGTGCAGGGTGAGCTGATTCCTCCAATGAGGCAGCATAGGCGGCGGAACCACGATCAGCGTCGCCGACGAAGCCTTGAGCGCACAAAGCCTCTCCAACAAGGATTCGGCTCGGTCCTACAACACATAGCGCGAGCACCCAAGACGGGACATGCATTCAAGACGCGACAGACAGGAGCTGAGCGAAGCAAGCACGAGGTGTGCCGTATGTGCGTGCAAAACGCCGCCTGAAATGCCGTAGGTGACACAAGATACCACACCCCCAGAACCGATTTTCAACACTCGATATGCATCCAAGATGCGGCAGGAGCTGAACGAGGTGTCTGCGAGCCGCCTGCATGTACGTAGGAAAACCCTTCTTGTGTACCGTACGGTTGCACAAGATAACACAACCCCCAGGACCGACTACTCTGCAGCAACAAATAATTACGGTGCCAACAACGGCGGCGTTGGAACAGTGTCGTCGAGAGCTTTAAAAAAAAAACTAATTTGATGCCGGGGGGCACACGGCCGAGATAAACGAGCTGCTGTACCGGCAAAATATTATCGATAGCGGCTGAGATGCTCCTACAGTACCAGTAAAATAGTATCAGGAGCGGCTGAGAAAATTCTGCTCCTGTATGTAGCGCATGGTCTAACAACGGCAGGGGGGGGGGGGGGGGGAGGGGGGGGGGGGACTCCCAAATTTGCGGGGCCCAAAAAACCCCTTTAAAAAAACCCCCCCTTTTCTGGAAAATTTCTCCCCCGCCCCGGGCACCTTTGGGATTGCTTGGGCCCCCCCGGGGGGGGGGTGCCCCCGAAGTTTCTTCCTTGGTTTCTTCCAAAAAAAAAAAAAAACCCACCCCCTCCTATGAAATGGCCCACGAGGGACAACCCCCGGGCAAAAAATCCACCTCTTAAGCCAAAAAACCCAAAAAAAAAAAAC